CTGGGCCGAACAGAAAGGTTCTGGAGGTCAACGCCTGACCCGGTTCTCAGTCTGACCCAAACTGCTCCAACAGAACCTGAACACTGGTTCTGACCCGAAAACTCCTTCGTCTTTACAGGGAAAACCCAACAGGTTCTGGTTCTGTTCTGGCTGAGAAACCTTCAGGACGGTTCGGAGAAGTTCGGCCTCAGAAACTGGACCCTGGCTCGGGACCAACTGGGTCTATTTTTAGAGAACCGGTTCAGGGTCAAACCTCCATGGAGTCCAGCTGCTGCGGGTTCTGCCCTCCTGGACCGGACCGGTTCTGCTTACCGTAAACCCGGAGCCATCCCTGCTGCTGGGACACGGAGTCGCCCAGGATCCGGTCCACCAGCGGATCCAGGAGACCCAGTCTGCCCTGGAGGGGGTCCCGGTCCGCCGGTACCGAGTCAGGCTCCATGTCCGCCGAGGAACCTCGCTGGCCGGGGGGAGAGGCTCCGGAGGGGCGCGTCAAGCCGGGAGGAGAGTGTGAAAGTGGGCTAAAGTGAGAGGGAGATCCCGCATGGAGGCTGCGGGGCTCTGGCCGCCCCGCTGCGCCCCGCTGCGCCCCGCAGGCCGCTAGCTGCTCCCGCTGCCGCCGGCGGCGCTCCGGCTGCCCCCCCGGTCCTGCCTCATGGCTCCGGTTCTGGGAAAAACGGTCCAAACTTCAACCAAAGCTCCAGAAACAGGAAGCCGGGAACCTCCTCTGTCCTTCCCGCTGAATTTCTCCCCTCAGTCCGGCAGGCGGAGCGCAGAAAGCGGCTGGAAGTCCCGGATCCGGGCGGAGGACGGAGAGTCTCCGGCGGGCTGGAGGTCTGCGCTGCTGCCCCTGCTGCGCGGGGCCGCGCGGGGCTGTGCGGGGCCGCGCTGCGCTGCGCGGTGCCAGACCCGCGGGAGCGCGCAGGAAGATCCGGGCCAGGCTCCGAGTCCGACCAGAACCAGAGGAGTCAGATGGTTCTGATGGTTCTGAGTGGAACCGGGTTCTGCTTCACCCGGGACTCTGCGTTGTGTAGATGTTTTTAATGAAGACCAGGAGGTTTATTTATTTCCTGAATGAGAACAAATCGGGTTGGAATCAGAGCAACGGCTCAGCTTCCCTCACAGCGTCATGTTAGCTTTAGCTTAGCACGGAAAGTGTTTTACAATATTAACAAAATTGGTGCCAGGCGCACAAATCGTAAATAGTCGTCACACACTATTGGTGTAAGTTATTAAAAATGATATTTTATGTGTTTCTAACACTTTTCCGTGCTGAGGAATGAAACTCAGTGCAGCTTCCATAGACTGATTACAGCAACATATAACCGCCACACAGAGAGGGGGCGCTGTTTCCCATTACACTGATAATATAAAGCAAGTGGGAGTCTACAACATAAACTCTTACATGAGGTTCTGTTGGTTCTGCTTGTTCTGCTTGGTTCTGTTTGGTTCTGTTTGGTTCTGTTTGGTTCTGCTTGGTTCTGTTTGGTTCTGCTTGGTTCTGTTTGGTTCAGTTTGGTTCTGCTTGGTTCTGTTTGGTTCTACATGTTCTGCTTGGTTCTGTTTGGTTCTGCTTGGTTCTGTTTGGTTCTGTTTGGTTCTGCTTGGTTCTGTTTGGTTCTGTTTGGTTCTGTTTGGTTCTGCTTGGTTCTGTTTGGTTCAGTTTGGTTCTGCTTGGTTCTGTTTGGTTCTGCTTGGTTCTGTTTGGTTCTGCTTGGTTCTACATGTTCTGCTTGGTTCTGTTTGGTTCTGTTTGGTTCTGTTTGGTTCTGCATGGTTCTGTTTGGTTCTGCTTGGTTCTGTTTGGTTCTGCATGTTCTGCTTGGTTCTGTTTGGTTCTGTTTGGTTCTGCTTGGTTCTGTTTGGTTCTGTTTGGTTCTGCTTGGTTCTGTTTGGTTCTGCTTGGTTCTGTTTGGTTCTGCTTGGTTCTGCGTGGTTCTGTTTGGTTCTGCTTGGTTCTACATGTTCTGCTTGGTTCTGTTTGGTTCTGTTTGGTTCTGTTTGGTTCTGCTTGGTTCTGTTTGGTTCTGCTTGGTTCTGTTTGGTTCTGCTTGGTTCTGCTTGGTTCTGTTTGGTTCTGTTTGGTTCTGCTTGGTTCTGCGTGGTTCTGTTTGGTTCTGCTTGGTTCTGTTTGGTTCTACATGTTCTGCTTGGTTCTGTTTGGTTCTGTTTGGTTCTGCTTGGTTCTGCGTGGTTCTGTTTGGTTCTGCTTGGTTCTGTTTGGTTCTACATGTTCTGCTTGGTTCTGTTTGGTTCTGCGTGGTTCTGTTTGGTTCTGCTTGGTTCTGTTTGGTTCTGCGTGGTTCTGTTTGGTTTTGCGTGGTTCTGCGTGGTTCTGTTTGGTTCTGCGTGGTTCTGTTTGGTTCTGCTTGGTTCTGTTTGGTTCTGCTTGGTTCTGTTTGGTTCTGTTTGGTTCTGCGTGGTTCTGTTTGGTTCTGTTTGGTTCTGCGTGGTTCTGTTTGGTTCTGCTTGGTTCTGTTTGGTTCTGCTTGGTTCTGTTTGGTTCTGTTTGGTTATGTTTGGTTCTGTTTGGTTCTGTTTGGTTCTGCGTGGTTCTGTTTGGTTCTGCTTGGTTCTGTTTGGTTCTGCTTGGTTCTGTTTGGTTCTGCTTGGTTCTGTTTGTTCTGTTTGGTTCTGTTTGGTTCTGTTTGGTTCTGCGTGGTTCTGTTTGGTTCTGTTTGGTTCTGCGTGGTTCTGTTTGGTTCTGCTTGGTTCTGTTTCTGTTTTCTGCTTGGTTCTGTTTGGTTCTGTTTGGTTCTGCGTGGTTCTGTTTGGTTCTGCTTGGTTCTGCTTGGTTCTGCTTGGTTCTGTTTGGTTCTGCGTGGTTCTGTTTGGTTCTGCTTGGTTCTGATTGGTTCTGTTTGGTTCTGTTTGGTTCTGATTGGTTCTGTTTGGTTCTGCTTGGTTCTGTTTGGTTCTGCTTGGTTCTGTTTGGTTCTGTTTGGTTCTGTTTGGTTCTGCTTGGTTCTGATTGGTTCTGTTTGGTTCTGTTTGGTTCTGCGTGGTTCTGTTTGGTTCTGCTTGGTTCTGCTTGGTTCTGATTGGTTCTGTTTGGTTCTGTTTGGTTCTGATTGGTTCTGTTTTTCTGCTTGGTTTGTTTGGTTCTGCTTGCTGTTTTTGTTTGGTTCTGCGTGGTTCTGTTTGGTTCTGTTTGGTTCTGCTTGGTTCTGATTGGTTCTGTTTGGTTCTGTTTGGTTCTGCGTGGTTCTGTTTGGTTCTGCTTGGTTCTGCTTGGTTCTGATTGGTTCTGTTTGGTTCTGCTTGGTTCTGATTGGTTCTGTTTGGTTCTGTTTGGTTCTGCGTGGTTCTGTTTGGTTCTGCTTGGTTCTGCTTGGTTCTGATTGGTTCTGTTTGGTTCTGCTTGGTTCTGCTTGGTTCTGTTTGGTTCTGTTTGGTTCTGTTTGGTTCTGCATGGTTCTGTTTGGTTCTGCTTGGTTCTGTTTGGTTCTGCGTGGTTCTGTTTGGTTCTGCGTGGTTCTGTTTGGTTCTGCTTGGTTCTGTTTGGTTCTGTTTGGTTCTGTTTGGTTCTGATTGGTTCTGTTTGGTTCTGTTTGGTTCTGATTGGTTCTGTTTGGTTGCTTTGGTTCTGTTTGGTTCTGCTTGGTTCTGTTTGGTTCTGTTTGGTTCTGCGTGGTTCTGTTTGGTTCTGTTTGGTTCTGCTTGGTTCTGTTTGGTTCTGTTTGGTTCTGTTTGGTTCTGCGTGGTTCTGTTTGGTTCTGCTTGGTTCTGCTTGGTTCTGATTGGTTCTGTTTGGTTCTGCTTGGTTCTGATTGGTTCTGTTTGGTTCTGTTTGGTTCTGCGTGGTTCTGTTTGGTTCTGCTTGGTTCTGCTTGGTTCTGATTGGTTCTGTTTGGTTCTGATTGGTTCTGTTTGGTTCTGTTTGGTTCTGTTTGGTTCTGCATGGTTCTGTTTGGTTCTGCTTGGTTCTGTTTGGTTCTGCGTGGTTCTGTTTGGTTCTGCGTGGTTCTGTTTGGTTCTGCTTGGTTCTGTTTGGTTCTGCTTGGTTCTGTTTGGTTCTGCGTGGTTCTGTTTGGTTCTGTTTGGTTCTGCTTGGTTCTGTTTGGTTCTGCTTGGTTCTGTTTGGTTCTGCGTGGTTCTGTTTGGTTCTGCTTGGTTCTGTTTGGTTCTGTTTGGTTCTGTTTGGTTCTGCTTGGTTCTGTTTGGTTCTGTTTGGTTCTGTTTGGTTCTGCTTGGTTCCCCAGGGTCATCAGTTCACCTGTCGTCTCTCACCGGGTCTTTCACGACTCAGGAAGAGTCGGATCATGGTTCTGTTTCTGGTCCACTTTGTGCCTCTTTCAGAACAGTTCGTCCAGATTTAGGTATTTTTTATTCATCTTGTCTTTTTGTCTTGATCAGCAGATTTGTCTCATTTTGGACCTTTTCATGTGTGAGGAGTTGATGTCCACGTTGACCCAGTCTCTGGTTCTGACTCAGCCTGTGGTTCTGACCCGGTTTCGGGTTGAGCAGGTCCAGCTCCATCGGAACCTGACTGGTGTAGTGCAGGCAGCGCTCTGCCTCCCCCTGCTGGTCCCTGTTGGTACTGCAGTATTCTTTAAATTTCATAAAAGTTTCCAGTTCTTCTGAACTCTGAGGAAGAACCAGATGAAATTCGGTTCAGTCAATGTGAACTGAAATCTGAACCTGTTCTATTGAGGAATCAGTTCTCTTGTTCATAGTTTGCCCAACAGGGGGCGGCAAAGCCCCAGCAAACTGGAGGCTCCAACATGCAGGACAAGGAAGAAAATCTAAAGGCTGCAGTTTGAGAACATTATTACCTCAAGAGATGATTGGTTTGGTGACGTCATGGAGGACAATCTGTCCGTCCAAGTCAACTTTATTATCCCCAGAGGGCGATTTGTTGTGCAGACAGTCTGTCTGATCTCATCTGGTCTGCAGAGTCTAGACTGCTTTCAGTTCAGATCTGGCTTTGAAGTGTCCAATTGATCAGGATGAAGCCACTGAGCTGACAGCAGTGAAACCTGAAAGAAAGTCGACTCAAAAAGTCCTGTAGTAGTTGGTTTTTATTACTGAAATGTTAGGTTTGGGTTTACAGGCAGGTGAGAACAGAGATGGAACATAGAAATCCTGCAGGCTGAGCAGCTGCAACACGGCCACCAACACAAAGAACAACAGCAGATCACAAACAGCCCATATAACTTAAAATACTGATTACAGAGCCGGCGCTGCACAGGCTGCAGGACCACAGGCTGCAGGACCACAGGCTGCAGGACCACAGGCTGCAGGACCACAGGCTGCAGGACCACAGGCTGCAGGACCACAAGCTGCAGGACCACAGGCTGCAGGACCACAAGCTGCAGGACCACAAGCTGCAGGACCACAGGCTGCAGGACCACAAGCTGCAGGACCACAGGCTGCAGGACCACAGGCTGCAGGACCACAGGCTGCAGGACCACAAGCTGCAGGACCACAGGCTGCAGGACCACAGGCTGCAGGACCACAAGCTGCAGGACCACAGGCTGCAGGACCACAGGCTGCAGGACCACAGGCTGCAGGACCACAAGCTGCAGGACCACAAGCTGCAGGACCACAGGCGAGTCGCCGAAACAGGAGGACATTCTGGGGTCCGCAGGCCCAGGATCGGTCTGTGTGACGTACCAATAACTGTCCTGTAAGGCGCAAACGGTCTGACTGATGATGGGCTCCAAACCTCCTGAAAACCCACAAAGAATCAACACAAACAGTAACGGCGGAAGGCAACAGCTGTCAGCCCTGTATACAAGCAGAGATAATAATAATAATAATAATTATAACAATTAGAATAACATACCACAGATGTTATGATATATTTTCACCTGGAGGTTTCAGTTGATTGATTGTGATCAGACATATTGGGGCTGCTCAGGATAAAATCAGCCAATCACTTATTTACACGCATAATAATAAACTCCTCGCTATAAGTCATAATAAAAAACATTCACTCAAAAATAAAACATTTGTAATAATTATTAGCACCAGTGTATCAGATAAAACTCTCGCTACGCAGAATGTACAAAGTTGCATAGTGTTTGGATGTGGAGACAAAGGTGAGGTGTTGCATTGTGGGAAAGAAGCTGCCAAAGTCCAGAAGGGGTCATTAAGGTCATGCAGGGGTCAGAATGGGATTTTATCCGGGGGAACCAGGAAGCTTCAGTTCATTCTCCTGTAGGTTTCCACCACAGACAGAACTGCTGATTCAGCTTCTTCTCTTCCTGGAACATGCTAGCAGCTAGCAGGAAGCTAGCAGGAAGCTAACAGGAAGCTAGCAGCTAACAGGAAGCTAACAGGAAGCTAGCTGCATTAGCATCATGGCTGCATCCATGATGCTAATGGATACAAGAACCAAACAGGCTCTTGCTCTTCAACCTGAACCAACACAGGTTTCCTAAGATAGCATGCTAAGGCTAACAAAGCTAACCAGCAAGCTGTTAAAAAGCAAAGATGTCTCTTTGCTATAGATAGGAGGTTAGCATGTTCATTTGGATTTATTGTGGAAAAACTAGGCTACAAAGTGACGCTAATCGCCTCGTCCTCCGACAGCACCGAAGAAATGACTTCAATTTAAACTTAACCTGAGAATCGTCAAAACTTAAGAGTTCACCAACATATCGAATTGTTTGTAACATGAAAACTACTGACCTCTCCAAGCTAATGCCAATGTTGCTAATTATTGTGAGAAATAAAAGTCATATTTAAATATTAATCTATTTATTTCAATCGGGTGTTGGAGTCAGTAAAATGTTACGACACTTAAATGAGAAACTCAGTCAGACCTTCAGAAAAGCTGCTGCTGAGGACTTTGGCTAAAAGGTCTGGTGGATGAAATGAATCAGAGCAGAACTTTAACTCCAGGCTTTGCTCTTTATCTGGAGCCAAACTTTAAAATGTTTCTGTAAGGAAACAAACATTAACTTTTATCTTCTGTGGTCAATGAACAGATTTGGGGCCTGAACCATTGAAGCTGCTTGGAAGCTCTTAATCCTGTGGGACGTTTTGTTTCTGTCTGTGATGGAAAACTTTTCACAGCTTCTATCAAGGCTGAAATGTGGACGACTGTAAATGAGGAAGAGTTTGGATCTGCTTTTATCTGTCTGGGACTTTGGCAGCTTCCCTCGCAGCTGTTTATGTGACTTTATAAAACACCGCCACCTGCTGGAGGTGTGAATACTGCAGAGGAGAGGACTTGAAATATTTTCCCTGCTGTCCGTATCGAGAGCGTAGCTTCAGGAAGAGGATCTGAGAATTCCTTCACGTGTTCTGAAATGTTGAAGACAGAAATATGGCGAGGCGCCAGTGGGCTGCAGTCGCGTTGGGTTTATGGTTCTGGTTGTCTCTGAGGTTCGTCCACCTCGCTGTCCAGCGTCTCTGCACCGCGGAGTTCCCTGTAACGACACCGCCGTCACCAGCAACTGCCTCTCTACTGGGCGCGGCTGAAATGTTGGCAAAGAAAGAACAGTTTTGGTAAAAGTCGGCACGCTTGTCGGAGTGTTAGATGTGAGCGTGGGAGGAAACAGGGCGGCTGGACGATGCGGGCGGGTTAAGGCTGTTCCAGCGACGGCGTGTTGAAGCAGCCTTCGGGTAATGTTGCCTTGATGTCGTTCAGGTTGTTGATGTCGCTGCGGATCTCTCGGATCTGCCGGTCGTAGTCGTCGATCATCTGCTTCTGTGAGCTCGCCACATCGTTCAGCTCCCTCAGCTTCTTGTCCAGCTCGCTGCCGGACATCTTGTCCTTGGCACGCTTCAGAGACTCTTCAATCTGGTTCAGTTTGCTAAGATCCACTTTATCAATGTTTCCTGCAGGAACATGTGACAGTGAGTCAGGAGTCGCAGCCAATGTTGCCGCCGAGAGACGAGTTGTGGACCTACCCAGCTGATCCATTAGGTCTGTGATGATCTTCAGGACCGTCTTCACCGTACTCTTGGCCTTGCGAGCGTTGTCCTCAGCCTGTTTGGCGGTTTCTGATGCCTGCAGGACAAACCAGTCGCACCGACTATCAGCAACAGTTCAACACTTCCTCATAGGTGGGAGGATTAGTTCGTACCATGGAAGCCATCATCATGTCGCTGTCGGCCTCGGCCTTCTTCTTCTTCAGCTCCTCCTCCGCGGCGCTCAGCTGATCCATCATGTCATCAACGTCTTTGTCCAGCTTGTTTGTGTCCTGCAGCGCCTTCTCTGCGTCTTCTTTAGTCTTAGCTGAGCCCTGCCAGGACACCATGTGAGGAGACAGTGAGCGGATCAGTTCACTGTCAACCAGCAGGGGGCGCCTCCTTACCTTCTGAACGTTGCCTGCGATCTTCTCAGCCTCTTCAGCCTTCCTCTTGGCCTCCCCAGCATCACCAGCAGCATTACCAAGCGCCTCCTTCGCCTGCCGCGTCTTCTCGTTGGCGGCCATGATGGTGGCATTGATGATGGGGATCTTCTTCATGGCTTCCTCTGCTGCTGTCTTGTTATCGTTGACCCTCCGGTCAAAGTCTGGAAGAAGTTTGGAAATAACCATCAGATTAAAATTATTCAGAAGGAAAACATTTACAATAAAAGGAAAATTAAAGCAACTTTTAATCTCAATTTTCTCTTAGAGAAACTTGTAGTAAGAGTTCTGCATTGATGAAAGTTTTTTTAATGCTCAGATAGAGAAAACAAAAAGCCGAGAATCCCCAAAATGTTCTCATGAAAAGTAGTGATGGTTTTGTCCAGTAACAGGAAGATTGCAACAGTTTGCATGAAGCAGTGCTGCAGCCTGTGTGATGCTTCCTGCATTGTCATCTCTCATCTCCATGTTTGCTGAAGAGCAGTCTGAGGGGAACTGCCGGTTTGGATCTTGGGCGGTTCCGTACCTCGCAGGTCCTCCAGGATGCTCTCTGCTTCTTTGAAAGTTGACTGGCCTTTCTTCGCCGCCTCCTCGGCCAGAGCTTTAGCGGCATCGGCTCGGGCCAACAGCTGATCTGCAGTCTGGGACAGAAGGAGGTTTAGTGTCTGGTGTTAAGTGGCTCAGCTGCAGGAGACGCGGGTCAGAACCTGAACCCACCTGCTGCTCACTCTTCCCTTTCTCCAGCAGCTTCCGGACCTCCAGCTCTTTGGGCTTCAGGTCGTCTCGCAGCTCGTTGTACTCCCGTTCTGTCTTGTCAATCAGGTTGTCCAAATCGGACGCCTCCTTCTTAATCTTTTTGGCATCATCCTGGAAACAGGCGCATCATTAATAAGTTTGACTCTGCGAGCAACGCATGTCTTTTTCACCTTGCTAACATTCACCTCTAAAGTCTTGGTGTCAAACGGGGGGAGGCTGGTCAGGTTGGCGAACAGCTTCAGAGCTTTGTTCCCGGCGTCCTCTGCCTCCGCCTGCACCTTGTGGGCCTGTTTCTCCAGATCCTTGGCCCGCTCCTTCGCCTCGTTGTACCTGAACGGGAGGAGGAGTCAGAAACTCAAGAACTTCAAAATTTGTTGGGAACTCATTGCCTCAAAGTCCAAAACTTCAAACAGACTTTACACACAACGACAGCAAACTGCAACAAATGGAAAACCTTTTACAAGCAAAGATGAAGCAACTAGAGACAAAACAGATTCAAAAGTACCAAATCAAATGAGCGAAAAGCTGAAACACTGCCAGCAGGACGCGGCCCGTCTCCTTTAAAACCGTTTTCATCCAGACAAACTGACATGTGACCTACATCTTGTTGAGCTTGTCAATCTCGTCGGCCATCTTGCTCTCGCCGTCGATGGTCTTCAGCAGCAGGTTGTATGCTTTGGTTGACGTGTCGTTGGCATCTTTAGCGATCTTTTCAATCTGATCGGCGTCCATCTTGTGCCTGTAGAACAACATTTCATGGATGGATTCAGTTCATCTGATGAGTTCTTGGTGAGTCTTTCGCCGGTCGGAGCGACAGGCGGTGAATCAGTCTTACTTGTCGGCGAGGCGTCGCGCCTCCTCCGCCAGCAGCGTCATGTTGTTGGGTTCTCCAGTGCCATCGGTAGGTTTGATGTCCTGTGAATAACGTCGGCTCAGTTACCTGCCACTGATCGATCCTTTGGATATCAGGACGATATTGATGTTATTTACCACTTTGCTGACGGCGTCCTTGGCCTTGGCCAGTTCCTGCCGAGCTCGATCTATCAGGCTCTCGGCATCTCGGACTCTGTCACGCGCGCGGTCAGCCTGAGCGCTGGTGTCGTCCACCGTGTTGCGGATGCTCTGCAGTCGGTTCCACTGGGTGGTCAGGGTGATGTTCAGGGTGTTCAGACGGTCCAGCAGACCTCGGTCTGCGTCTGCAAGGACCCGGTCAGGTTAGCAAACCGTGATGACCGTTGGTTTAATAACACCATCTTCTGGCTTCACATTGTTCTACATGTTTCAGTCTGCAGAGCAGCTTTACCTTTGCTATTCTGAGCCTCTTCCAGCAGCTCCATGATGACCTTTTCTGCCTCCTTCAATCTGTCCTCAAAGGCCTTATCACTGACTGTATCCTGGCCGGAGCCCAGATTATCTATCAGCATCTGGAGTTCTTGGAGCTTCTGTCTCTGCTGGTTCACCTGGACACCATGTTAGAAACCATTTCAGTTTGAAAAGGTCATGTGAAGCAGCGCAGCTCCGACCAACGACTGCTCACCTTGTCTCGGACCAGACCGTAGCAGGACGGACACTGCTGGCAGCCTGGCACTGACCGGTTGTAGAAATAATTCTCCTCACACATGTCGCATCGCGCTCCGACGAAACCGGGTCGACACTCGCACCGGCCATCTTCCTTACACTGACCGGACAGAGAACCTTCAGGGTCACAGTCACACGCTGAGCAGGAAACAGAAAAACAAGAGTTTATTCACATTTCATTTCTGATTTGTAGCTCTAGAATAACTAAATCTATGACAATTATTTATTTGGTCCTTGGATCTCTTGGATCTCAGGGTTTTTGCTTCGTATTTATACTACAGAACTCTAAAGTAAGTAAGTTACAAGTGAAAGTAACTTGTTTGGTTTTCTCCTCACGTTTGCATCCAGATGAGCTGAAGCCGAAAAAGTTGACCTCACAGCGGTCGCAGTGCTGGCCGGCGACGCCAGGTTGGCACTCGCATTGTCCTGAGTCAATGTCACAGTCGCCACTGGTGGAGCCGATCGGGTTGCAGTTACATCTGTGGACAGGTACGGACAGAGGAAGTCATCAGATCAACCCACCGTTACCGTAACCCTGGATTCTAACTTCCAACCCTGATCTGTTTGAACACAATCTAAGAAATGAAAGGACTTTCTGTAACGGCTGGTCAGTGAAGGATGAATAAACTAAAGGTCTGAAATGTGGAGGGAACTCACTCCTCGCAGCCATTGCCGCTCTGCAGGTTGAAGAATCCCAGCTGGCAGGCGCTGCAGTCGCGTTGATCCACATTAGGGAGACACTGACACTGACCGGTGACCGGAGAACAGCTGGTCTGCTGATCCACTGTGCCCAGCGGAGAACAGGAGCAGGCTGACGACAAACACCGACAGGAAACACTAAGAGCTCAATGAAAAGCTCACCGACTCCCAAACTGGTTATCTGAAAACCGAGGCTGCAGCTCATCTGACGCTACATCAGCAGTAAAACATGAGCGCAGCGTCAGTCTATGTGTCAGTCAGTGGCTGTGGATGAAACGTGTTGCTGGTCGTCCACAGATGGATGCGAACGGAGGCTTACCTGCACACTTCTCAGCAGGGTTGGAGGCGTGCGGGTCTCCGAAGAAGCCCGCCTTGCAGCGGTCGCAGAAGAAGCCGTCGGTGTTGTAGATGCACTTGAGGCATTCTCCTGTCTCGCGGTTGCAGTTGCCGACGGCATTGGGGTCGATGTTATTGCTGCACTGGCAGGAGCGGCAGGGTCGGGCCGGCCCGTTCTGACCCAGAGGGTCCCCAAAGAACCCGTCGTCGCAGAGCTCACATCGCTTACCTGCACACAGGTGAGGCATGTTCACATAATGTTGATGTCTACTTTGACTGATCTTAACAAATGTTTCAGTTTATATATTTTTAGGGATCCTCTGCTGGAAGAACCAGGAGGTGGATTGGTGTCCGGTCCTCTGTGGTACCTGTGGTTCCAGCAGGACAGTTGGTACAAACCACTTCTCTGGTTTTGGGGACGACGGCGCAGGTGGCTCCACTGGGGCAGGGACACGGCTGGCAGTCGCCCGCCGAGCCCTGAGTGGCGTCGCCGTAAAACCCGTCCTGGCAGCGCTCGCAGCTCAACCCGGCAGTGTTGTCCTGACAGTCACAGGCTCCTGGACAAGAGGCAGAAACAAGGGATGGATTCACCAGTTCACTACCAGTAACAACCCAGTGTGACACTAAAGCCACTGGAAAACTGGTGAGAGAAGCAAAGCAGAACACCAGTTAGATCCAGTTAGAACCTCGAGAAATCAGTTAGGAACCAATCCAAGGTTCTGTCTAAAACCTGAAAAAGACCAAACAAAATCACTGTGACCATCAAACCGTCCACTCCCAGAGTTCCCAGTGTTCCCAGTGTCAGAGTGGGAGGCAGCACTGCAGTCAATCATCCCAGTGTTCCCAGTCTTACCAGTATCAGGGTGGCAGGCGTCGCTGTGTCCATGGCAGTTGCAGACTTCACAGGAGCTGAAGGGTCCGAGCTCCAGCTGGGCCCGGCGATATCCCAGGGTGCATTGCTCACAGTGCTGACCCTGGTAACCCGGCGGACACGTGCACTGCTCCACCCAGCGGGCCGGCACCCCGGGGGCCCTCCTCGCCGTGACCAAGGAGACATTGTCCAGGTAACCAGCACCTGCAGACACAGACGAAGGTTAAAGGCAGAACGACTCTGGAGGAAGGAAGGTGATGAAGGTGATGAAGGTAGTGAAGGTGATGAAGGTAGTGAAGGTGGTGAAGGTGGTGAAGGTGATGAAGGTAGTGAAGGTGATGAAGGTAGTGAAGGTGATGAAGGTGGTGAAGGTGATGAAGGTGGTGAAGGTGATGAAGGTGATGAAGGTAGTGAAGGTGATGAAGGTGGTGAAGGTGATGAAGGTGATGAAGGTAGTGAAGGTGATGAAGGTGGTGAAGGTGATAAAGGTGGTGAAGGTGATGAAGGTGGTGAAGGTGATGAAGGTGATGAAGGTAGTGAAGGTGATGAAGGTGGTGAAGGTGATGAAGGTGGTGAAGGTGATAAAGGTGGTGAAGGTGATGAAGGTAGTGAAGGTGATGAAGGTGGTGAAGGTGATGAAGGTGGTGAAGGTGATGAAGGTGGTGAAGGTAGTGAAGGTGATGAAGATGATGAAGGTGGTGAAGGTGGTGAAGGTGGTGAAGGTAGTGAAGGTGGTGAAGGTGATGAAGGTGATGAAGGTGGTGAAGGTGATGAAGGTGATGAAGGTGGTGAAGGTGGTGAAGGTAGTGAAGGTAGTGAAGGTGGTGAAGGTAGTGAAGGTATTGAAGGTGATGAAGGTGATGAAGGTGGTGAAGGTGATGAAGGTGGTGAAGGTAGTGAAGGTGGTGAAGGTGATGAAGGTAGTGAAGGTGGTGGAGGTGATGAAGATGATGAAGGTGATGAAGGTAGTGAAGGTGATGAAGGTAGTGAAGGTGATGAAGGTAGTGAAGGTGATGAAGGTAGTGAAGGTGGTGAAGGTGGTGAAGGTAGTGAAGGTGATGAAGGTAGTGAAGGTGGTGAAGGTGGTGAAGGTGGTGAAGGTGGTGAAGGTAGTGAAGGTGGTGAAGGTGATGAAGGTAGTGAAGGTGGTGGAGGTGATGAAGATGATGAAGGTGATGAAGGTAGTGAAGGTGATGAAGGTAGTGAAGGTGATGAAGGTAGTGAAGGTGATGAAGGTAGTGAAGGTGGTGAAGGTGGTGAAGGTAGTGAAGGTGATGAAGGTAGTGAAGGTGGTGAAGGTGGTGAAGGTGGTGAAGGTAGTGAAGGTGATGAAGGTAGTGAAGGTGGTGAAGGTGATGAAGGTGGTGAAGGTGATGAAGGTGGTGAAGGTGATGAAGGTGGTGAAGGTGATGAAGGTGGTGAAGGTGATGAAGGTGATGAAGGTGGTGAAGGTGATAAAGGTGGTGAAGGTGATGAAGGTAGTGAAGGTGATGAAGGTGGTGAAGGTAGTGAAGGTAGTGAAGGTGATGAAGGTGATGAAGGTAGTGAAGGTGATGAAGGTGGTGAAGGTAGTGAAGGTATGAAGGTGGTGAAGGTGATGAAGGTGATGAAGGTGGTGAAGGTAGTGAAGGTAGTGAAGGTGGTGAAGGTGATGAAGGTAGTGAAGGTGATGAAGGTGATGAAGGTAGTGAAGGTGGTGAAGGTGATGAAGGTGGTGAAGGTGATGAAGGTGGTGAAGGTGATGAAGGTGGTGAAGGTGATGAAGGTGATGAAGGTGGTGAAGGTGATAAAGGTGGTGAAGGTGATGAAGGTAGTGAAGGTGATGAAGGTGGTGAAGGTAGTGAAGGTGATGAAGATGATGAAGGTGGTGAAGGTGATGAAGGTGGTGAAGGTAGTGAAGGTGGTGAAGGTGATGAAGGTGGTGAAGGTGATGAAGGTGGTGAAGGTAGTGAAGGTGGTGAAGATGATGAAGATGATGAAGGTGATGAAGATGATGAAGGTGAAGATGATGAAGGTGATGAAGGTGGTGAAGGTGATGAAGGTAGTGAAGGTAGTCAAGATGATGAAGATGATGAAGGTGATGAAGGTAGTGAAGGTAGTCAAGATGATGAAGATGATGAAGGTGATGAAGATGATGAAGGTGGTGAAGGTGATGAAGATGGTGAAGGTGATGAAGGTGATGAAGGTGGTGGAGGTGATGAAGGTGGTGAAGGTGATGAAGGTGGTGAAGGTGATGAAGATGATGAAGGTGATGAAGATGATAAGGTGGTGAGGTGATGAAGGTGGTGAAGGTGATGAAGGTGGTGAAGGTGGTGAAGGTGATGAAGGTGATGAAGGTGATGAAGATGATGAAGGTGGTGGAGGTGATGAAGGTGGTGAAGGTGATGAAGGTGGTGAAGGTGATGAAGATGATGAAGGTGGTGGAGGTGATGAAGGTGGTGAAGGTGATGAAGGTGGTGAAGGTGAAGAAGGTGATGAAGGTGGTGAAGGTGATGAAGATGATGAAGGTGATGAAGATGATGAAGGTGGTGGAGGTGATGAAGGTGGTGAAGGTGATGAAGGTGGTGAAGGTGAAGAAGGTGATGAAGGTGAAGAAGGTGATGAAGGTGGTGAAGGTGATGAAGGTGAAGAAGGTGATGAAGGTGGTGAAGGTGAAGAAGGTGATGAAGGTGAAGAAGGTGATGAAGGTGGTGAAGGTGATGAAGGTGATGAAGGTGAAGAAGGTGATGAAGGTGATGAAGGTGGTGAAGGTGAAGAAGGTGATGAAGGTGGTGAAGGTGATGAAGGTGGTGAAGGTGATGAAGGTAGTGAAGGTAGTGAAGGTGATGAAGGTGATGAAGGTGGTGAAGGTGATGAAGGTAGTGAAGGTAGTGAAGGTGATGAAGGTAGTGAAGGTGATGAAGGTAGTGAAGGTGGTGGAGGTGATGAAGGTGGTGAAGGTAGTGAAGGTGATGAAGGTGATGAAGGTGGTGAAGGTGATGAAGGTGAAGAAGGTGATGAAGGTGATGAAGGTGGTGAAGGTGATGAAGGTGGTGAAGGTGATGAAGGTGATGAAGGTGGTGAAGGTGGTGAAGGTGGTGAAGGTGATGAAGGTAGTGAAGGTGGTGAAGATGATGAAGGTGGTGGAGGTGATGAAGGTGGTGAAGGTGGTGAAGGTGATGAAGGTGGTGGAGGTGGTGAAGGTAGTGAAGATGATGAAGGTGATGAAGGTGGTGAAGGTGGTGAAGGTGATGAAGGTGAAGAAGGTGATGAAGGTGATGAAGGTGGTGAAGGTGATGAAGGTGATGAAGGTGAAGAAGGTGATGAAGGTGATGAAGGTGGTGAAGGTGATGAAGGTGGTGAAGGTGATGAAGGTGATGAAGGTAGTGAAGGTGGTGAAGGTAGTGAAGATGATGAAGATGATGAAGGTGAAGAAGGTGATGAAGGTGATGAAGGTGGTGAAGGTAGTGAAGATGATGAGGTGGTGAAGGTGAAGAAGGTGAAGAAGGTGATGAGGTGATGAAGGTGATGAAGGTGGTGAAGGTGATGAAGGTGATGAAGGTAGTGAAGGTGAAGAAGGTGATGAAGGTGGTGAAGGTGGTGAAGGTGATGAAGGTGGTGAAGGTGATGAAGGTAGTGAAGGTGAAGAAGGTGATGAAGGTAGTGAAGGTGATGAAGGTGATGAAGGTGATGAAGGTGGTGAAGGTGATGAAGGTGATGAAGGTAGTGAAGGTGATGAAGGTGATGAAGGTGATGAAGGTGGTGAAGGTGATGAAGGTGATGAAGGTAGTGAAGGTGAAGAAGGTGATGAAGGTGATGAAGGTGGTGAAGGTGATGAAGGTGATGAAGGTAGTGAAGGTGAAGAAGGTGATGAAGGTGGTGAAGGTGATGAAGGTAGTGAAGGTGGTGAAGGTAGTGAAGATGATGAGGTGGTGAAGGTGAAGAAGGTGAAGAAGGTGATGAAGGTGGTGAAGGTGATGAAGGTGAAGAAGGTGATGAAGGTGATGAAGGTGGTGAAGGTGATGAAGGTGATGAAGGTAGTGAAGGTGATGAAGGTGGTGAAGGTGAAGAAGGTGATGAAGGTGATGAAGGTAGTGAAGGTGAAGAAGGTGATGAAGGTGATGAAGGTGAAGAAGGTGATGAAGGTGATGAAGGTGGTGAAGGTGATGAAGGTGATGAAGGTAGTGAAGGTGGTGAAGGTGATGAAGGTGGTGAAGGTGAAGAAGGTGATGAAGGTGATGAAGGTGGTGAAGGTGAAGAAGGTGATGAAGGTGATGAAGGTGAAGGTGATGAAGGTAGTGAAGGTAGTGAAGGTGGTGAAGGTAGTGAAGATGATGAAGATGATGAAGGTGGTGAAGGTGATGAAGGTGGTGAAGGTGAAGAAGGTGATGAAGGTGGTGAAGGTGGTGAAGGTAGTGAAGATGATGAAGATGATGAAGGTGATGAAGATGATGAAGGTGATGAAGGTGATGAAGATGATGAAGGTGAAGAAGGTGGTGAAGGTGAAGAAGGTGATGAAGGTGATGAAGGTGGTGGAGGTGAAGAAGGTGATGAAGGTGATGAAGGTGGTGAAGGTGATGAAGATGATGAAGGTGGTGAAGGTGGTGAAGGTGATGAAGGTGATGAAGGTGATGAAGGTGGTGAAGGTGATGAAGATGATGAAGGTGGTGGAGGTGATGAAGGTGATGAAGGTGGGAGGTGAAGAAGGTGATGAAGGTGATGAAGGTGATGAAGGTGGTGGAGGTGAAGAAGGTGATGAAGGTGATGAAGGTGAAGGTGATGAATGATGGTGGTGAAGGTGGTGAAGGTGATGAAGGTGATGAAGGTGATGAAGGTGGTGGGGGTGATGAAGATGATGAAGGTGATGAAGGTGATGAAGATGATGAAGGTGAAGAAGGTGGTGAAGGTGAAGAAGGTGGTGAAGGTGGTGAAGGTGATGAAGGTGGTGGAGGTGATGAAGGTGATGAAGGTGGTGAAGGTGATGAAGGTGATGAAGGTGGTGGAGGTGATGAAGGTGATGAAGGTGGTGAAGGTGAAGAAGGTGATGAAGGTGGTGAAGATGATGAAGATGATGAAGGTGGTGAAGGTGGTGGAGGTGATGAAGGTGATGAAGGTGGTGGAGGTGATGAAGATGATGAAGATGATGAAGGTGGTGAAGGTGGTGAAGGTGATGAAGGTGGTGAAGGTGGTGGAGGTGATGAAGGTGATGAAGGTAGTGGAGGTGATGAAGATGATGAAGGTGATGAAGGTAGTGAAGGTGATGAAGGTAGTGAAGGTGATGAAGGTGGTGAAGGTAGTGAAGGTGATGAAGGTGGTGAAGGTGATGAAGGTGGTGAAGGTGATGAAGATGATGAAGGTGGTGAAGGTGGTGAAGGTGATGAAGGTGATGGTGGTGAAGGTGGTGAAGGTAATGAAGGTGATGAAGGTGGTGGAGGTGAAGAAGGTGATGAAGGTGATGAAGGTGATGAAGGTGGTGAAGGTGATGAAGATGATGAAGGTGGTGAAGGTGGTGAAGGTGATGAAGGTGGTGAAGGTGATGAAGGTGATGAAGGTGATGAAGATGATGAAGGTGGTGAAGGTGGTGAAGGTGATGAAGGTGGTGAAGGTGATGAAGGTGATGAAGATGATGAAGGTGGTGAAGGTGGTGAAGGTGATGAAGGTGGTGAAGGTGATGAAGGTGATGAAGGTGGTGAAGGTGATGAAGATGATGAAGGTGGTGAAGGTGGTGAAGGTGATGAAGGTGGTGAAGGTGATGAAGGTGATGAAGGTGGTGGGTGATGAAGATGATGAAGGTGATGAAGGTGATGAAGATGATGAAGGTGGTGAAGGTGAAGAAGGTGATGAAGATGATGAAGATGATGAAGATGATGAAGATGATGAAGGTGGTGAAGGTGAAGAAGGTGATGAAGATGATGAAGATGATGAAGGTGGTGGGGGTGAAGATGATGAAGGTGATGAAGGTGATGAAGATGATGAAGGTGGTGAAGGTGATGAAGGTGATGAAGGTGGTGAAGGTGATGAAGATGATGAAGGTGGTGAAGGTGGTGAAGGTGATGAAGGTGGTGAAGGTGATGAAGGTGATGAAGGTGGTGGGGGTGATGAAGATGATGAAGGTGATGAAGGTGATGATGATGAAGGTGGTGAAGGTGAAGAAGGTGATGAAGGTGGTGAAGGTGATGAAGGTGATGAAGGTGGTGGGGGTGATGAAGATGATGAAGGTGATGAAGGTGATGAAGGTGATGAAGGTGGTGGAGGTGATGAAGGTGATGAAGGTGAAGAAGGTGGTGAAGGTGAAGAAGGTGATGAAGGTGGTGAAGGTGATGAAGGTGATGAAGGTGGTGGAGGTGATGAAGGTGATGAAGGTGGTGGAGGTGAAGAAGGTGATGAAGGTGGTGAAGGTGATGAAGATGATGAAGGTGGTGAAGGTGGTGGAGGTGATGAAGGTGATGAAGGTGGTGGAGGTGATGAAGATGATGAAGATGATGAAGGTGGTGAAGGTGGTGAAGGTGATGAAGGTGGTGAAGGTGGTGGAGGTGATGAAGGTGATGAAGGTAGTGGAGGTGATGAAGATGATGAAGGTGATGAAGGTAGTGAAGGTGATGAAGGTAGTGAAGGTGATGAAGGTGGTGAAGGTAGTGAAGGTGATGAAGGTGGTGAAGGTGATGAAGGTGATGAAGGTGGTGGAGGTGATGAAGATGATGAAGGTGGTGAAGGTGGTGGAGGTGATGAAGATGATGAAGATGATGAAGGTGGTGAAGGTGATGAAGGTGATGAAGGTGATGAAGGTAGTGAAGGTGGTGAAGGTGGTGGAGGTGATGAAGATGATGAAGATGATGAAGATGATGAAGGTGGTGAAGGTGGTGGAGGTGATGAAGGTAGTGAAGGTGGTGAAGGTGATGAAGGTGGTGAAGGTGATGAAGGTGATGAAGGTGGTGGAGGTGATGAAGGTGATGAAGGTGGTGGAGGTGATGAAGGTGATGAAGGTGGTGAAGGTGGTGAAGGTAGTGAAGGTGATGAAGGTGGTGAAGGTGATGAAGGTGGTGAAGGTGATGAAGGTGGTGAAGATGATGAAGGTGGTGAAGGTAGTGAAGGTAGTGAAGGTGGTGAAGGTAGTGAAGGTATTGAAGGTGATGAAGGTGATAAAGGTGATGAAGGTGATGAAGGTAGTGAAGGTGATGAAGGTGGTGAAGGTAGTGAAGGTAGTGAAGGTGATGAAGGTGATGAAGGTAGTGAAGGTGATGAAGGTGGTGAAGATGATGAAGGTGGTGAAGGTAGTGAAGGTAGTGAAGGTGGTGAAGGTAGTGAAGGTATGAAGGTGATGAAGGTGATAAAGGTGATGAAGGTGATGAAGGTAGTGAAGGTAGTGAAGGTGATGAAGGTGATGAAGGTGGTGAAGGTGATGAAGGTAGTGAAGGTGGTGGAGGTGATGAAGGTGATGAAGGTGGTGGAGGTGATGAAGGTGATGAAGGTGATGAAGGTGGTGGAGGTGATGAAGGTGGTGAAGGTGGTGAAGGTAGTGAAGGTGATGAAGGTGGTGAAGGTGATGAAGGTGGTGAAGGTGATGAAGGTGGTGAAGATGATGAAGGTGGTGAAGGTATTGAAGGTGATGAAGGTGATAAAGGTGATGAAGGTGATGAAGGTGATGAAGGTGGTGAAGGTGATGAAGGTGATGAAGGTGGTGAAGGTGATGAAGGTAGTGAAGGTATGAAGGTGATGAAGGTGATAAAGGTGATGAAGGTGATGAAGGTGATGAAGGTAGTGAAGGTAGTGAAGGTGATGAAGGTGATGAAGGTGGTGAAGGTGATGAAGGTAGTGAAGGTAGTGAAGGTGATGAAGGTGATGAAGGTAGTGAAGGTGATGAAGTAGTGAAGGTGATGAAGGTGATGAAGGTGGTGGAGGTGATGAGGTGGTGGAGGTGATGAAGGTGATGAGGTGGTGGAGGTGATGAAGGTGGTGGAGGTGATGAAGATGATGAAGATGATGAAGGTGGTGAAGGTGGTGAAGGTGATGAAGGTGATGAAGGTAGTGAAGGTGGTGAAGGTAGTGAAGGTGGTGAAGGTAGTGAAGATGATGAAGATGATGAAGGTGATGAAGGTGATGAAGGTGGTGAAGGTGATGAAGGTGATGAAGGTAGTGAAGGTGGTGAAGGTAGTGAAGGTGGTGAAGGTAGTGAAGATGATGAAGATGATGATGGTAGTGAAAGTGATGAAGGTGATGAAGGTTCCTACTCCGCTCGCTGTAGGTTCCCCGGATCTTGATGGCCGTCAGGTTGTGGAGAAGTTTCTGGAAGTCTGAGTCGCTGACAGAAGGTCTCCAGGGGTAGCCCGGCTGCTCGTGGAGCCTGAACCAGAACCAGAACCAGAACCAGAACGGTTTCATTATTCAGGACTGACAGAGAGCTGAGGAACCTTCTCTGGACAAGTCGCCTCATCTCACCTGAACACAAAGGTCTGCATGTTCTCGTTGGGGTAGGCGTTGCCCTGAGCGATGAGCGGGACGGCCAGCCTCATGCCGGACCCCTCCAGGATCAGATCCTCGGCCGACAGGCGCGCATCCCGCCGCTCCACCCGGAAGGTCATGCTCAGGTTTTGTCCGTAGCTCAGCATCTGATTCCTCAAGAACTTCTCTGTGGAGCAGAAAACAGCAGCAGTGAGTCTCTGAGGGAACCGGAGGGTCCGGGCGGGTCCGGGTTCGGTACCTGGGGCCACCAGGTACAAGGGCTGGTAGTCTTCAGACACCAGGGACACTTCCTGTCCACTGGGGGACCACTGGACTGAGACGGTGGATCCGTCCCGCGTCTGGCCGCTCCACTCCTCTGTACCTGTAAACAGGAACAGGAAGTCAGGAGCCGACACTAGAGGGCAAGCGTGCCCAGAGTTCGGGCTGCAGGCGGAGTTCACCTCTGTCGAAGGTGGAGCTGATGGTGTGGACGCTGTAGCCCTCGGCGCTGTCGCACACAGACGAGTGCTGGAAGCAGAAACAAGCCGTGCAGCCCTGAGGGTTGTTGGGGTCCAAGTTGAAGTAACCTGGTTTACATCTGGAGGGACAGACGGGTCGGTGTGAAGGCTGTCTCAACGAGGGACAGAACCTGGGTGGGGCCTCACCTGTCGCAGCTGAAGCCCTCCACGTTGTCTTTACAGCGGCACTGACCCGTGTTGACGTCACACTCCTGGGTGCTGCCTGACGGCGAGCAGGTGCAAGGCCTGGCAGACAAGCACAGGGTTAAATTAACCCACAAAGCACTGGGAGACAAAACGACCCCAAACTCAACGATGTGGCCAGCAGATGGCGCTCAGAGGACACAGGTCCTGAGAGGTCGGTTCATTCCTGGCTTTCAGAAACTAACGTTGCAGATTCCCAGCCTGTCATGATCCAGTTTAATGCAGTGGACTGGGATCACTGGATCCATTCCAGTTTAACGCTGTGTGTCCAGGTGATGTTATTCGGTGGCGGCGCGGCAGCGGCGCGGCGGCGTACCTGCAGCCGGCCTCGGTCAGGCTGTGGAACCCTGGCTGACAGCGGTCGCACTTCTCCCCGGTTACTCCGGGTTTGCAGGCGCACACGCCTCTGTTGTTGCACTGAGGAGACTCAGAACCTGCAAACAAACGTCGGCCGTCAGCTCGGTAACCTTTAACCTCCCAAACATAGTTAGCATCAATGAATTAAGCTGGAATAGAGCAGGAAAACCTAATTCCACCAGAAGGAGACAGACAGACAGAGACATTCTCCTGGAAAACATGCACAGAGCTAAAAATGATGCAAACACCAAATAAATCCACAAAACTTTTCCATAAAAACCCATGAAAAAGCAAAAAGTAAAGATGTAAAATATGCCAGAAAGGAGCAGAACATCACCTTATAATCAACAAGGAACATTTTAATCAGAACACAGATTTAAAAACTGAGAATATCCAGATAAATAGGAAACATGCAGAAACAGCAGTAAAATGACCAGCAGGGGGCAGAAAACACCAGCTGCTGTTCAGTTCAAGGTTTTGAAATCCAGTTTATGACGTTTTACCTTTGGTTTTATATTTATCAGCTTATTTTCTGTCTGAGCCGTTTTGACTGAGTTTATAGGTCAGAGTTGATAAAACAGTTTCTGTTTCTCAGACTTTGGATCAGCGCAGAAATGAACGGTTGACCTGTCAGACGTGAGCCGGGCGTGGCAGATTCATGCGTCCATAATCCACGTTTCACGGCCAGGATGAAAGGATGAAGTTGCTGTTTCTGTTGCTGCCGGGACTCACCGATGGAGTTGCAGTTGCAGGGCAGGCAGCGGTTGCCGCTCTGGTCTCTGTGGTAGTTGTCGAGGCAACGCTCACAGTTGGGCCCGTCGGTGTTGTCGGCGCAGTTTCTGCAGTGACCTCCGTGACCCGTGGCCCGGTACAGCTCGGCGTCGAAGTAACAGTCTGAGCTCTTCCTGTTGCAGTCGCAGGCTGAAACAGGAAACAGCAACAATCCCTGAAAACTCAATATAAGCACTAACAGTTTAACCAGAACTAAATACTTTAACCAGAACTAACAGTTCAACCAGAACTAAATACTTTAACCAGAACTAACAGTTCAACCAGAACTAAATACTTTAACCAGAACTAAACACTTTAACCAGAACTAAATACTTTAACCAGAACTAACAGTTTAACCAGAACTAACAGTTTAACCAGAACTAAATACTTTAACCAGAACTAACAGTTTAACCAGAACTAACAGTTTAACCAGAACTAAATACTTTAACCAGAACTAACAGTTTAACCAGAACAAAATACTTTAACCAGAACTAACAGCTTAACCAGAACTAACACTTTAACCAGAACTAACAGTTCAACCAGAACTAAATACTTTAACCAGAACTAAACACTTTAACCAGAACTAAATACTTTAACCAGAACTAACAGTTTAACCAGAACTAACAGTTTAACCAGAACTAAATACTTTAACCAGAACTAACAGTTTAACCAGAACAAAATACTTTAACCAGAACTAACAGCTTAACCAGAACTAACACTTTAACCAGAACTAACAGTTCAACCAGAACTAAATACTTTAACCAGAACTAAAACACTTTAACTAGAACTAAACGCTTTAACCAGAACTAACAGTTTCAACCAGAACTAAATACTTTAACCAGAACTAACAGTTTAACCAGCACTAACAGTTTAACCAGAACTAACAGTTTAACCAGAACTAAATACTTTAACCAGAACTAACAGTTTAACCAGCACTAACAGTTTAACCAGAACTAACTACTTTAACCAGAACTAAATACTTTAACCAGAACTAAATACTTTAACCAGAACTAACAGTTTAACCAGAACAAAACACTTTAACCAGAACTAACACTTTAACCAGAACTAAATACTTTAACCAGAACTAACAGTTTAACCAGAACAAAACACTTTAACCAGAACTAACAGTTTAACCAGAACTAAACACTTTAACCAGAACTAACAGTTCAACCAGAACTAAATACTTTAACCAGAACTAACAGTTTAACCAGCACTAACAGTTTAACCAGAACTAACACTTTAACCAGAACTAACAGCTTAACCAGAACTAACACTTTAACCAGAACTAACAGTTCAACCAGAACTAAACACTTTAACCAGAACTAAATACTTTAACCAGAACTTAAATACTAACAGCTAAAACCACTTTAACCACTTTTTAACAAAACAACTTTAACCAGAACAGAACACAAAACTTTAAGAACAGAATAACTTTAACCAGAACAAAACACTTTAACCAGAACTAACAGTTTAACCAGAACTAAACGCTTTAACCAGAACTAACAGTTCAACCAGAACTAAATACTTTAACCAGAACTAACAGTTTAACCAGCACTAACAGTTTAACCAGAACTAACACTTTAACCAGAACTAACAGCTTAACCAGAACTAACACTTTAACCAGAACTAACAGTTCAACCAGAACTAAATACTTTAACCAGAACTAACAGTTTAACCAGAACTAACAGTTTAACCAGAACAAAACACTTTAACCAGAACTAACAGTTCAACCAGCACTAACAGTTTAACCAGAACTAAATACATTAACCAGAACTAACAGTTCAACCAGAACTAACACTTTAACCAGAACTAAATACTTTAACCAGAACTAACAGTTTAACCAGAACTAAACACTTTAACCAGAACTAAACACTTTAACCAGAACTAACAGTTCAACCAGAACTAAATACTTTAACCAGAACTAACAGTTCAACCAGAACTAAATACTTTAACCAGAACTAACAGTTTAACCAGAACTAACAGTTTAACCAGAACTAAATACTTTAACCAGAACTAACAGTTTAACCAGAACTAACAGTTTAACCAGAACAAAACACTTTAACCAGCACTAACAGTTTAACCAGAACTAACAGTTTAACCAGAACTAAATACTTTAACCAGAACTAACAGTTTAACCAGAACTAACAGTTTAACCAGAACTAAATACTTTAACCAGAACTAACAGTTTAACCAGAACTAACAGTTTAACCAGAACAAAACACTTTAACCAGCACTAACAGTTTAACCAGAACTAACAGTTTAACCAGAACTAAATACTTTAACCAGAACTAACAGTTTAACCAGAACTAACAGTTTAACCAGAACTAAACACTTTAACCAGAACTAACAGTTTAACCAGAACTAAACACTTTAACCAGAACTAAACACTTTAACCAGAACTAACAGTTCAACCAGAACTAAATACTTTAACCAGAACTAACAGTTCAACCAGAACTAAATACTTTAACCAGAACTAACAGTTTAACCAGAACTAACAGTTTAACCAGAACTAAATACTTTAACCAGAACTAACAGTTTAACCAGAACTAACAGTTTAACCAGAACAAAACACTTTAACCAGCACTAACAGTTTAACCAGAACTAACAGTTTAACCAGAACTAAATACTTTAACCAGAACTAACAGTTTAACCAGAACAAAATACTTTAACCAGAACTAACAGTTTAACCAGAACTAACACTTTAACCAGAACTAACAGTTCAACCAGAACTAAATACTTTAACCAGAACTAAACACTTTAACTAGAACTAAACGCTTTAACCAGAACTAACAGTTCAACCAGAACTAAATACTTTAACCAGAACTAACAGTTTAACCAGCACTAACAGTTTAACCAGAACTAACAGTTTAACCAGAACTAAATACTTTAACCAGAACTAACAGTTTAACCAGCACTAACAGTTTAACCAGAACAAAATACTTTAACCAGAACTAAATACTTTAACCAGAACTAAATGCTTTAACCAGAACTAACAGTTCAACCAGAACTAAACACTTTAACCAGAACTAACAGTTTAACCAGAACTAAACGCTTTAACCAGAACTAACAGTTCAACCAGAACTAAATACTTTAACCAGAACTAACAGTTTAACCAGAACAAAACACTTTAACCAGAACTAACAGCTTAACCAGAACTAACACTTTAACCAGAACTAACAGTTCAACCAGAACTAAATACTTTAACCAGAACTAACAGTTTAACCAGCACTAACAGTTTAACCAGAACAAAACACTTTAACCAGAACTAACAGTTCAACCAGAACTAACAGTTTAACCAGAACTAACAGTTTAACCAGAACTAAACACTTTAACCAGAACTAACAGTTTAACCAGAACTAACAGTTTAACCAGAACAAAACACTTTAACCAGAACTAACAGTTTAACCAGAACTAACAGTTCAACCAGAACAAAATACTTTAACCAGAACTAACAGTTCAACCAGAACAAAATACTTTAACCAGAACTAACAGTTTAACCAGAACTAACAGTTTAACCAGAACTAAATACTTTAACCAGAACTAACAGTTCAACCAGAACAAAATACTTTAACCAGAACTAACAGTTTAACCAGAACTAACAGTTTAACCAGAACTAAATACTTTAACCAGAACTAACAGTTTAACCAGAACTAACAGTTTAACCAGAACTAAATACTTTAACCAGAACTAACAGTTTAACCAGAACAAAACACTTTAACCAGAACTAACAGTTTAACCAGAACTAACCGTTTAACCAGAACTAACCGTTTAACCAGAACTAACAGTTTAACCAGAACTAAACGCTTTAACCAGCACTAAACGCTTTAACCAGCATCGGTTAAAAAGTGAGGCAGAAACTGCAGCAGGGCTCCTGAATATGCAGAAAGGCATCGGTCAGCGACATAATGCTGGTCAGAACTGGAGCAGAAATGACACCAGTAAGCGCCACTGGTCATTTCTGACTCTGGTGAAGTGAAGACACAGAGAGCTTTTACATCCCTGGGCAGGGTGCAGGTTTGTTAAGTCTCCAGTCTCTTCCTCATGTCTTCCTCCTCACTGGGAAACTCATCAGGGCTTCACATTAAAGCCAGGTTGTTCCTGAACCACTGCATTCTGCATTCTGCTCTGAGTTTGGTGTTTCAATCAAAACCTCGTCTCTCTTCTGTTTTCCTTCCATATTTTCTTTATGATTCTGGGTTTTAGTCAGTCAACATAATGATATCCGGCCTTTGGAAAACTTTCCCTGACTCTCATGTTTCCTCAGTGTGGGAGACTGAGCACCGCTTAGTCATGGCTCTGCATTAAACTACAACTCCCACAATCCCCCAGAGAGCCGAGCCCAGCGCAGCTGTCCGCTCTGGGCCGGTTCCGGGCGGTAACCGGTGACTCACGCAGACACTCGTTGGCGCTGTCGGCCGTCGCCCTCATCCACGGCCGGTCGTTGAAGAAAGCTTTGCACACGCTGCAGTCCGCGCCCTCCGTGTTGTGCTTGCAGTCGCAGACCAGCCGGCCGCCGCCGTCCTTCACACACTCGCTGGCGTGGCCGTTACACTTACACCTGACACACACACACACACACACACACACACACACACACACACACACACACACACACACACACACACACACCTGTTACACCTGGACGACACCACTCAGCACATCACCTGACAAAGAAGCAGCTTTTCATCATCAGACGTGCGTCTGAATGAGCCTGTTGGTGTGAAATGTGTCATCAGGGACGAGCCGCTTCCGCTCGGTGATTGAAGGTTTGCTTCGCCCTCCTCAGGTGGGGGAACGGCTCCAGCAGGACGGCGCTTGTTCAGCCTCCACCTTATTGTCTCAGCTGTTTCCTGGCACAGAGCCGTGGAAAGTCTGACAGCAGACAAAACTTCACAGCCCATAAACCGAACTGATCAGTTTCTGTCTTCCAGGGAAACGTTTTGCTGCCGAGACGCTCAGAGGAAAAACAGAGGAATAATGAAAACAATCTAGAATATAATCTAGAATATATAGATCACAGAAAACACCACGCAGAAATCAGGAGTGGAAAACCCCTCATCCATTCATCTATTCATCCATTCATCTGTTCATCCATTCATCTGTTCATCCATCTGTTCATCCATTCCTCCCTCCTATTTTTCAAATAAATTTCTTGTTTTTTTGTTGTGACTTTTCTTTGCAGCCGTTAGCATGAAGCTAGTAGCTCTGCTAGCTTTGCTAGCAGTTAGCTCTACTCAACCTCTGACTATTAAAGTATCATTAAAATGTTAGAAATTAGACACAATTTTAACTTAGGCGCCATAAACATTTAGCAGCTAAGCTACAGACTGTTAGCTTAGCTGAAGCTAGCAGGTAAACTTTGAGATTTAACTCGTTTATTAGATTAAATTTACAGTTATTTTTTGAATCCGTTAAAATTTGTCATTAAATGTGCATTTATGTCATTTGTGTTTCTCGAGTCATAAACTAATGATCAGCGATTTGTACCAAATGGAGATCCAAACAGATCTAAAGTGGCTTTAGATCTGTAGTGGTAATTTTGCACATCATCCAGTGAATATTGGTGTTAAACTGAACTGGTTTTCATTAATCATGTGTGTTTTTGTTTGGATGGAGGCAGCAGGTCAGGACAGCAGGATGAGTTCATGGATCTGGTTAAAGTTCAACCAGCAGCATAAAGCCGACCTGCCCGGCCCGGCCCGGCCCGGGCCGGCCCGCCCGGAGGTAAAGTCCGCTCAGAGGCCACGCCTCGTGCCTCCGGGGGCCCTGGCCGCCCCGTCACCGTTTCCCTGTAATCCGGCTCTGCCAGCCAGGAATGTCAGGAATGCTGGATGTGTCATGGAAATGTGCTCCACATTTCTAACAGATTACGGCTGCAGAGCCTCTGTGTTCAACACTCTGGCTGCCCAAACCGCTTTCCCTCCAGCCGGGCGGGAAACGGAGACCCATGTAACCGCGGAGGGAGGGCAGCGGACCACACAGGGCCGGATCGGGACCCATAAATCCGCCTGACCTGCTGCTCCGTTCACCTCTTTTGTCTGAAGCTGGCGAAGCCTGCAGGAAACCATCAGATAATGTTTAACTGCGTGTTTACCTTCCTCCCACGGCGAAGTCAGAGATGGCGTAGTAGTAGGACTTGAGGACCTTGGGGTCGTTGAAGACTTCGTCTCCGAACGTGTTGAGTCTGTTCAGGGTCACTCTGATGTCTGTGGCCGTCACCCAGTCCTGAACCAGACGACAGACAATTACAGCAAACCTTCCGGCTGCAGCTCACAGTTTCTGACGGTTATCTAAAAGCTAAAAGTGAGAATGACCTGAAGGATCCCCAAACGCCCCCAAACGCCCCGTTCTGTTCAAGCATGCAGGAAAATATCAAAGGTCAGGAATCACCATGAAGAGTTTCTGGAAAACAGCTTCAGACTCTCATCGTCTTATTGAGACTAGAAGCTGCAGAAACCTTGAGATTTATCTCAAAACCTCAGAGGGAATCAGGTCAACGGGTTCAGATAGCAAACCAGCTTTAAACTGGTTTACTGACATTAAACTGGTTTACTGACATTAAACTGGTTTACTGACATTAAACTGGTTTACTAACATTAATCTGGTTTACTAACATTAAACTGGTTTACTGACATTAAACTGGTTTACTGACATTAAACTGGTTTACTGACATTAATCTGGTTTACTGACATTAAACTGGTTTACTGACATTAATCTGGTTTACTAACATTAAACTGGTTTACTAACATTAATCTGGTTTACTAACATTAAACTGGTTCACTAACATTAAACTGGTTTACTGACATTAAACTGGTTTACTGACATTAAACTGGTTTACTGACATTAATCTGGTTTACTGACATTAAACTGGTTCACTAACATTAAACTGGTTTACTGACATTAAACTGGTTTACTGACATTAAACTGGTTTACTGACATTAATCTGGTTTACTAACATTAAACTGGTTTACTGACATTAAACTGGTTTACTGACATTAATCTGGTTTACTGACATTAAACTGGTTCACTAACATTAAACTGGTTTACTGACATTAAACTGGTTTACTGACATTAAACTGGTTTACTGACATTAATCTGGTTTACTAACATTAAACTGGTTTACTGACATTAAACTGGTTTACTGACATTAAACTGGTTTACTGACATTAATCTGGTTTACTAACATTAAACTGGTTTACTGACATTAAACTGGTTTACTGACATTAATCTGGTTTACTAACATTAAACTGGTTCACTAACATTAAACTGGTTTACTGACATTAAACTGGTTTACTGACATTAATCTGGTTACTAACATTAAACTGGTTTACTGACATTAAACTGGTTTACTGACATTAAACTGGTTTACTGACATTAATCTGGTTTACTGACATTAAACTGGTTCACTAACATTAAACTGGTTTACTGACATTAAACTGGTTTACTGACATTAAACTGGTTTACTGACATTAATCTGGTTTACTAACATTAAACTGGTTTACTGACATTAAACTGGTTTACTGACATTAATCTGGTTTACTAACATTAAACTGGTTTACTGACATTAAACTGGTTTACTGACATTAAACTGGTTTACTGACATTAATCTGGTTTACTAACATTAAACTGGTTTACTGACATTAAACTGGTTTACTGACATTAATCTGGTTTACTAACATTAAACTGGTTCACTAACATTAAACTGGTTTACTGACATTAAACTGGTTTACTGACATTAAACTGGTTTACTGACATTAATCTGGTTTACTGACATTAAACTGGTTCACTAACATTAAACTGGTTTACTGACATTAAACTGGTTTACTGACATTAATCTGGTTTACTAACATTAAACTGGTTCACTAACATTAAACTGGTTTACTGACATTAAACTGGTTCACTAACATTAAACTGGTTTACTAACATTAAACTGGTTTACTGACATTAAACTGGTTTACTGACATTAAACTGGTTCACTAACATTAAACTGGTTTACTGACATTAAACTGGTTTACTAACATTAAACTGGTTTACTAACATTAAACTGGTTTACTGACATTAAACTGGTTTACTGACATTAATCTGGTTTACTGACATTAAACTGGTTTACTGACATTAATCTGGTTTACTGACATTAATCTGGTTTACTGACATTAAACTGGTTTACTAACATTAATCTGGTTTACTGACATTAATCTGGTTTACTAACATTAAACTGGTTCACTAACATTAAACTGGTTTACTGACATTAATCTGGTTCACTGACATTAAACTGGTTTACTGACATTAAACTGGTTCACTAACATTAATCTGGTTTACTAACATTAAACTGGTTCACTAACATTAAACTGGTTTACTGACATTAATCTGGTTCACTAACATTAAACTGGTTTACTGACATTAAACTGGTTCACTAACATTAAACTGGTTTACTAACATTAAACTGGTTTACTGACATTGAACTGGTTCACTAACATTAATCTGGTTTACTAACATTAAACTGGTTCACTAACATTAAACTGGTTTACTAACATTAAACTGGTTTACTAACATTAATCTGGTTTACTGACATTAATCTGGTTTACTAACATTAAACTGGTTCACTAACATTAAACTGGTTTACTAACATTAAACTGGTTCACTAACATTAAACTGGTTTACTGACATTAAACTGGTTTACTGACATTAAACTGGTTTACTGACATTAAACTGGTTCACTAACATTAAACTGGTTTACTGACATTAAACTGGTTCACTAACATTAAACTGGTTTACTAACATTAAACTGGTTTACTGACATTAAACTGGTTTACTGACATTAAACTGGTTTACTGACATTAATCTGGTTTACTAACATTAAACTGGTTCACTAACATTAAACTGGTTTATTGACATTAAACTGGTTTACTGACATTAAACTGGTTTACTGACATTAAACTGGTTCACTAACATTAAACTGGTTTACTAACATTAAACTGGTTTACTGACATTAATCTGGTTTACTGACATTAAACTGGTTTACTGACATTAAACTGGTTTACTAACATTAAACTGGTTTACTGACATTAAACTGGTTCACTAACATTAAACTGGTTTACTAACATTAAACTGGTTTACTGACATTAAACTGGTTTACTAACATTAAACTGGTTCACTAACATTAAATGGTTTACTAACATTAAACTGGTTTACTGACATTAATCTGGTTTACTGACATTAAACTGGTTTACTGACATTAAACTGGTTTACTAACATTAAACTGGTTTACTGACATTAAACTGGTTCACTAACATTAAACTGGTTTACTAACATTAAACTGGTTTACTGACATTAAACTGGTTTACTAACATTAAACTGGTTTACTGACATTAAACTGGTTCACTAACATTAAACTGGTTTACTAACATTAAACTGGTTTACTAACATTAAACTGGTTCACTAACATTAAACTGGTTTACTAACATTAAACTGGTTTACTGACATTAAACTGGTTTACTGACATTAAACTGGTTTACTAACATTAAACTGGTTCACTAACATTAAACTGGTTTACTAACATTAAACTGGTTTACTGACATTAAACTGGTTTACTAACATTAAACTGGTTTACTAACATTAAACTGGTTTACTAACATTAATCTGGTTTACTGACATTAAACTGGTTTACTAACATTAAACTGGTTTACTAACATTAAACTGGTTTACTGACATTAAACTGGTTTACTAACATTAAACTGGTTTACTAACATTAAACTGGTTTACTGACATTAAACTGGTTCACTAACATTAAACTGGTTTACTGACATTAAACTGGTTTACTGACATTAAACTGGTTTACTAACATTAAACTGGTTTATTGCAGCTGCAAATAGAAGAACAAAACTGAGTATTTAAAGTTTTTACAACTTCAGATTTTTTCAGTTTAACAAAAACAAATTAAACTCCAAAAACATAAGAAAAAATATAAAAACTGTTTTTCCATTTTGATTTTGTGGACATGGATCTAAATGAGCCTCTTCAGATAAAATCATTGATCCAACTTTAATTAACTGAAATTATTCCATCAGTTTTTAATTACAGAAAGTTATGAAAAAAATTCCCCAGAGGACAGAAAATTGTTAACTGTTTTTCTACAAGGTTCTGGATCCTCTTTGAGGTTCTGGATCCTCTTTGAGGTTCTGGATCCTCCATAAGGTTCTGGATCCTCTTTGAGGTTCTGGATCCTCTTTGAGGTTCTGGATCCTCTTTGAGGTTCTGACAAAGTTCTGCAGCTCTGGGAAATTGTGATGGAGCCAAAGTCAAATAAATGTTTTCATTTTATGATTTTCATGATTTAAAGGCAGGAGGAAGGGATTCGTCACGAGCAGCTGCTCAGCGTCTGGCTGGAGCCTCGTGGGAAAGCGGGTCGGTACCGGCAGGAGGCGAGCCGGACCCAGAGGTTCAGAGCGAGTGAGAACCCGGGTTCTGGACGGGTTCTGGTTTGCTCCCCAAACTGTAGTAACTGGGTCCAGATGTGACCCGACCTGCTGGTCTCAGTCTGAGGCGGTTCTGGTTTCGACCCGGAAGTTCTAGGAAACATTTTGATCTCCAGTATTTTTGCTCCAGAAACGATCTGATCCGAATAAATGAAGGCGGTTCTGATGCTGAACAGGAAATGCATCACGGAGATTTCTGTACAAATCAAACTTTCCAGGGAGGCCAGAGGTCAGAGGTCAGGGGTCAGAGGTCATGGGACACTCAGACGTCCTCAGGTTCTGGTCACATCCCAGCCTGGTCGGCCCGGTCAGCAGAAACCGGCCGGGATTCCCGACTTCCAGGAAAACTGCCGGGAACGTGGAGCTGGAACCGGAACCAAAAATCTGAGCTTCAGGTCCTGAACCTGGACTAGGAACCGGCGCCGGACCGGACCTGGTCCAAGACCTGGTCCTGGACTAGGACTAGGAACCGGCGCCGGACCCAGGACCTGGTCCAAGACCTGGTCCTGGACTAGGACTAGGAACCGGCGCCGGACCCAGGACCTGGTCCAAGACCCGGACTAGATTCAATCATCTGGACTCATTTCCTCAGCTGGCCTCCAGCTATTGACTCATCTAAGCTAGTGGTGAGCTAGCAGTGAGCTAGCACTTAGCTAGCAATGAGCTAACATGAGCTAGCAGTGAGCCAGCAGTGAGCTAGCGGTAAGCTAGCGGTTAGCCAGAAGTTAGCTAACATGAGCTAGCAGTGAGCTAGCGGTAAGTTAGCCTGGAGATAAAATGAATTAATCGACTAAATGATCACGATCATGAAAACAATCTGGACTCATTTCGGGTCCAAAGTCGTCGTTCTGATCTGGCCTTAATGAGGAACTGCTGACGATGGAGGTGAAGCGAAGAACTGAAGCACGTTTTGTTTCGGCCCAAACTCTGAAGGCGACTCGGTTCTGGCAGCGACTCGGCGAACCGGGCCCAGGCGGACCGGGCCCAGGCGAACCGGGCCCAGGCGGACCGGGCCCAGGCGGACCGGGCCCAGGCGGACCGGGCCCAGGCGGACCGGGCCCAGGCGGACCGGGCCCAGGCGGGTCGCCGTCCTGCAGCTGCAGGACTTCTTGTCTTCGTCTTGTCGGGTTCATGCAGAACAAGCCGGCAGCTGCGGGTCCAGAGCGGTTCTGATCGTCTCACAACATTTGATGATTATGAGCAGAGAGGAAAAACATTCAGCTGGGCCGAACCAGAACTTCTGTCCAGGAACCATCTCTCAGGAATCTGATTGGCTCATAGAGATTCAGAGGATCACCAGGACGTTTCTGTCTCAATAAGCGTTTTATCTGCTCTGTTTCAGATCCGCCGTCGTTTCCCAGCTGGGAGGATTCAGGCTCCTTCCTGTCTGGAAAACCTCCAGCTGCAGCCGGACCGCCTGACCCGCAGCAGGGAGTAGAACCAGCAACCTTTCCTCTGGGATCGCTGTCATAGCAAAGGTCAGGCTGAGCTGGAGGATTTTAACATCAACCAGAAATATGAGTCAGAAGTTGATCTTGGAAAGTTATTTATGAATGAATGAATACAGTTTTAGTGAAGGGATGAAAAGCTGGACATGAAACATGTTTTCTGGTTTGAATTATTGACTTTATGATCCTTTGAACCAGAAACTTTCTTCATAAACTCCTCAGAGAAACAGATTCATGATCAAGACTTTAGATCAAAACTCGTTTCGTCCCAAATGTCAAAATGTTGATTGAACTGATGTAATAATCTGGTTTGGTGACATCAGTGTGTGAATTAATCCAGTTTCCCTCAGATTAGAGTTTCTGGAATAAATGTTTTCTAGAACTTATTGAGATATTTATTAATTTTATATTTATTGATATATAACTAACTGATCAGAACTGCAGGCTAATGTGGCCTGTAGCCGTTAGCAAACAGATGCTAACATTGCTGTTAGCATGCTAACATTAGCACACCAACAGAGATGCTCTCAGCTTATTTTGGTGAATTCATAATTATTCTAAATTATAATTCAGATGCTTCATCATCTTCTGAACTCCAACCAGGAAATGTTGAGATTTTATAAACTAAAGTGACGTTTTCACAATAATCAGTTTTTAGTTTTTCAGGATGTTTTCAGGGTTAAATCAGCTCAGATTTGATCGTCAGAATCATAAAAACATTTATCTGGGCATCATGTGCCAGTTTGGCCAGTTTAAATGGAGACCAGAACAAGGAGGGAACATTTAAAGCACAGCTGTGAAACCCAAAGACGTCCAACAGGAATGAACTGATGAAACAATAAAAAAATGTCCAGAACCCAGAATTTAAATGATGTCAACATTTCAGATGGATTATCGACCCTCTGCTGTAGGAAACCAGTAACTGTGGCAGGCTGTGACCTTTCAGACGACCTCTGTGTGACCTGGAAGTGTTTCATTGAAATTAGAAACCCGTTTAGTTTTCCAGCTCAGCGGCGGGAGGAACCGTCTTTATGTTTCAGAAACTGAACGCATCGTTGCAGCGAGAAGGAACAAATGTGAAGCTGTGAACTTCAGAGCCAGTAAATGCAAACATGACCCGGTTTGACCCGGTTTGACCCGGTTGGACCCGGTTGAACCCGGTTTGACCCGGTTGGACCCGGTTGGACCCGGTTACAGGACTAATGAAGCAGAGCTCTGATCCGTCAGGCCTTTATGACTCGGTTCTGCTGGGAACTGGACCGTGACGGCGGCTCTGCGTCCGCTGCTGCGTTAAAGAGCTGGGAATCCCAGCAGGTGGTCATTTCCCAATCCGGACCCGGAGATGACAGACGGCAGGAATGTCCCAGAGCCGCCGGCCGGCTGACGCCTCCAGAAAGAGTCCCGGCTTCGGTATAAATAGCTTCGTGCCGACGGGTCAAATAAGGAAGTTCACAGCTGAGCGGCTGAGCTAAATCTGTTCTTTTACAGGGAGACGAAGTTCAGGACGGAAAAACAGAGACAGAATCCAACAGAACCGGACCCGGCCCGCGTAGGTCGGGACCGGACCCCCCACCTGGGTGGAACCACCGGTCCTGAACCGTCAGGTCCAGAATGGGAGGATCTCTGGTTGATCTAAACATCAGTTTGATCGTTTCAAACATTTTTCATAAAAACGTTTCCGTCATTTCCTCAGTTCAGTTTCAATCTGACGTCAGATTGATGAATGTGAAGCTGTGACGTCAGGTGCGGAGCGACAGGTGAGTGTTTCTGGGCATCATGTTTGTCCAGATCCACTTTGAACTGCAGTCATCACCATAATTAGATGTTGCCATGGGAACAGCCATCCAGCTGCTACCAACCAACATGTCCGACCAATCAGAACGCAGGATACTGATGATGAAAGATTATTCCAAACAGAAAACATCTGAGGCAGCCGCCGGGCTTCGGAACCCAAACCAGATCCGATCCGGTCCGGATCCAGACCGGATCGGATCCAGATCTGGTCCAAAGCAACCCAGTTCTGGTTCTGGTAACTCCTGGTCACTAACTGGACTGTGAACTCATCTGGACCCAAAGTGTCTAACAGCAGAAGCCCGACCCAAACCGGTCATCAACAGAACCTGGACCCAAAAGAAAAGGATCACGGTGCTGAACTGGTCCAGTAATCTCCAAACCGGGCCTCACCGAGTGAAGCATCCTGGACCTTCAGAACCAACGAGACTAACGGAGAGTTGATCCGTTGGGTTCTGGGAAACCCAACGGATCAGAACCAACGACCAACATGTTCTGTCAAAACGACTGAAACTGAGACGGTTCTGATCCGAGACGGTTCTGATCCAAGACGGTTCTGATCCAAGACGGTTCTGATCCAAGACGCCAATAAGTGGATGGATTCACATCAAACCCTCTTTGTTCCTTCGAATGGCAGCAACTGCAGGAAAACAAACAGCTGGAGGCGTTTTGAGTGAGAAGAGAAAAAATTACACAACATTGTGAAAGAAAGAGAAGAATGTGCAGTGATGATGAGGAGGAGGAGAAGAAGAGGAGGAGGAGGAGGAGGAGGAAGACGAGGAAGAGGAGGAAGAGGAGGAGGAAGACGAGGAAGAAGAGGAGGAGAGCGACAGAAACGTCCCAGTGGGAATCTCCTGGCCCTGACTGGCTTGGAACCAGCAACCTCAAAGCCCTGGGAGCTACAACCTCAGACCCGGTTCGGGTCGTAGAGCTGGAGATAAAACCTCGGATCTGGTGGAACCGAGACGGCACCGAGGGGTCCAACAGAACCCAACAGAACCAGCCTCTACTCAGGACCTGGAGTCAGAACCAGAACCTGAACCAGAACCTGAACCAGAACCAGGTCCAGAACCTGGTCCAGAACCTGGTCCAGAACCAGAACCTGGTCCAGAACCTGGTCCAGAACCTGGTCCAGAACCAGAACCTGGTCCAGAACCAGGGCGGACCTCCAGCTGATCTGCAGCAGGTTAACATCTGGACTCCTGCAGGTTCAGTGAAGCTCTGAGGTTCGGATCCCGGCTGTTTGGGCTGCTTGGTTCCGGTACCAGCGGTATTCTGCCCTACAGAACCGGTCCTGGTTTCCTGTCTGCTCAGAGATTTTCTCATTCATGTGATGAGAGAGCAGATCATCTGGTCCTGCAGCTGCAGATCTGAACCGACAGCAAAGCTAAAACCACGTTTGCACATGAGCTTCAGAACCGGGACCTTCAGGGACGAGCCGACCTCTGACCTGGAGCACCGGGCTGTTGTCGAAGTTGTAGGCGCTGGGTCGGCCCTCCAGCGTGGAGAAGGCCACGTTTCCCCGGTGAGCGGCGAGATGTCGCTGAAGTCGTCGGTGCAGAGCGCCTCCTGCTCGTCGCCGCCGGTGCGGATGAAGCCGCGGCTCGGCTTCCTGTACGTCTTCTCGCAGGAGCCGCTGTAGTACTGGTACGGCACCCAGGGCGCCCTCGCTGCTCCGCTTGTAGATGGCGAAGCTCTCCGGGCGGCTCGTGTGGAACTTCAGCCGAACGTAGGTGATGTCGAAGGCCTTCCCTGCAGGCACAAACAGGAAGTGAACAGGAAGTGAATGATCAACAAACCAAAACTCAGTCACATGATTGTCCAAACAGACGTGTCGGCTGCTTTTATTGCTTTTATCAGACATTTTGTTTCAAAGTTTCCCCAACAGGTTTCAGACGTTTGTTGTGGATCCAGAAACACCGGAAGGTTCAGAACTTTTGGACTAATTTGCAGAAGAACAGAAAAACATTTAAAACCTGAATTTATCTGGGAAATTTTTACTATTTATAAAAATGTTGAAGCTTGGTTCTGGTTCTGGTTCTGTCAGAGAAAATCCTGAACATCTCATCAGTAAATATGTAAATCTCTCATTATCCATTCAGTGTGAAATGAGTTTTTCAGATCAGTTTATTCTGTCAGGAAATGTTTGCAGGGTTCTTTTGGACCTTTCAGACGTTTGCTGGTTCTGAACCGGGATGAATCTTTGACTCGACCCGTTTCACGTTCAGCTCCTGCACTGAAATCCGGAGTTTCAGTTCAAATGTGACAGAAACCCGAGACCCGGATCGCTGCAGCCGGCCCGGTTCTGAGCAGGAATGCAGGAAGCCGTCAGAGCGTGACGAAGCAGCGGACTAGGTCAGGAGGGTCGGGCCCGGCGGGTCTGAGCAGGTCCAGGAGCCGCCGCCGGGTCGCGGGCCACGGCAGGCGGTTCTGCTGTTTGCTCAGCCAAGGAATCCGTTCTGTCAACAGAGAGCTGAGGGGCCCCCAGGGGTCCGGGCCCTCTGGGGCCCAGACCCCTGGGGGCCCAGACCCCCCCTAGGGGGTCCAGACCCCCCGGGGAGGATGCAGGGCCCCTGGGGGGGTCTGGGCCCCCGGGTCCCGGTGTTAACCACAAATAAAGGTGAAGCAGCTGATAGGACGAACAAAGGCAGCAGTTTATGACAGGAAACTATAAAGAGCTGCAAACAGCCGGAGTCCTCCCCCTGAGAGTGTGCACGTGAGAGTGTGCACGTGAGAGTGTGCATGTGAGAGTGTGCACGTGAGAGTGTGCATGTGAGAGTGTGCACGTGAGAGTGTGCACGTGAGAGTGTGCACGTGAGAGTGTGCACGTGAGAGTGTGCATGTGAGAGTGTGCACGTGAGAGTGTGCACGTGAGAGTGTGCACGTGAGAGTGTGCACGTGAGAGTGTGCACGTGAGAGTGTGCATGTGAGAGTGTGCATGTGAGAGTGTGCATGTGAGAGTGTGCATGTGAGAGTGTGCATGTGAGAGTGTGCATGTGAGAGTGTGCATGTGAGAGTGTGCACGTGAGAGTGTGCACGTGAGAGTGTGCACGTGCCAGCAGCCCTCTGCTGAGCAGATGAACTTTATGGGTCAAGGTTAACAAGGATTTAACTGCAGATACCAGTTTGATCTTATCAGAGTGAAGAGACCAGAACCAGAACCAGAACCAGAACCGCTCTGCACTGAACCTGCAGCTTCACTGTTCGCCCAGAACAGCAGAAAACCAAATTCAGACTTGAAATGTCCTTCAGGTCCAGCAGAACGTTTCTCTTCCTTTGGGATCAAACAGCAACAGGAAGCAGAACTCGGGTCGAGCAGAACCTCCGGGATAAAAACAAAGCCAACAGCGAGGGGCTGAAACGTGACCCGACTGGGAGGAACAAGACACCTGAAGGCAGAAGGTCCTATTTAAAGTAAGGGAGGAAAAACCTCTCCAGCCCAGAGGAAGGAGTCGTTTCCAACAAAAACAGTTTCAGTTCCTCAGACGGATCAGATGTCCACTCAGATCAGAACCAGAACCTCTGAGGAGGTCCGAAAGAAACGGCAGCAGGTTGAAAACCAGGAATGAAACGTTTGTTTTTATAATTTGATGAAAAGTTGTGAGTTCAATACTGAACAGTTTCCCTGAATGTTCTAAAGGTTGAATCTGAATATTTTGATATTTATATCAACAGTTTCATGAGGAAAGCTGACGGCTCCTCATCGACCTAAACAAAGTTTTGTTCCCATCATGCACTGCGCCGGTTTATGACGCTGCCAGAGGTTCGGCGCTAAACGGTTAAAAGTTATCAAAAGTAGCTCCACGCATGAAGAGGCGTCTGACAGCAAGCAGCGTCGCTCCGTCACCAAACGCCTCCGTGTCCTCACCGGAGGACAAAAGCTTCTGCCAGCAGGAGGCAAACAGCAGCGAGGACGCAGGCGGCCGGTTGGACGGCCGGTTGGACGGCCGGCAGAAACAACGAGCCTCCGGCGGCAGGAAGACACCAGGTGACCCAGCGGCTGTTCAAACACGGTGTGGAACGGGTCGGTTTGAGTCCAAAGAGACATCAGGGATTCCTCCTCCAGAACAATCTGCATGTTCACCAGAGGACATTTCTCAGCTTGGAAACAAAGAGCGTCTGTCCAGCCTCACTGGCAGGAAACACTGACTCATAAAGCTTTGGTCCCGCCAAAATAAAAGCTGAAGCAGCAACAAGAACATGATGAGAAGCTTTGGCCGTTTTATAAAACTCATAAAGATCAGCAGCAAAACGAGAAGCAATCAATCAACTATCAACAGGATGGACAACGGTAATGTGAGGACATGGAGGACATGGAGGACTAGAGGTCTCGGGGTCTCTGGGTTTCTGGGTCTCTGGTCTCGGGGTCTCGGGGTCTCGGGTCTCGGGTCTCTGGGTCTCTGGGTCTCGGTCTCGGGTCTCTGGGTCTCGGGTCTCTGGGTCTCGGGGTCTCTGGGTCTCTGGGTCTCTGGGTCTCGGGTCTCGGGTCTCTGGGTCTCGGGGTCTCTGGGTCTCTGGGTCTCTGGTCTCGGGGTCCCGGGTCTCTGGGTCTCGGGTCTCTGGGTCTCTGGGTCTCGGGGTCTCTTTCTCTGGGTCTCTGGGTCTCGGGGTCTCTGGTCTCGGGGTCTCGGGTCTCGGGGTCTCTGGGTCTCGGGGTCTCTTTCTCTGGGTCTCTGGGTCTCGGGGTCTCTGGGTCTCTGGGTCTCGGGGTCTCTGGGTCTCTGGGTCTCTGGGTCTCGGGTCTCGGGGTCCCGGGTCTCTGGGTCTCTGGGTCTCGGGGTCTCTGGGTCTCGGGGTCTCGGGGTCTCTGGGTCTCGGGGTCTCGGGGTCTCTGGTCTCGGGGTCTCGGGTCTCGGTCTCTGGGTCTCGGGGTCTCTTTCTCTGGGTCTCGGGTCCCGGGGTCTCTGATCTCGGGTCTCGGGGTCTCGGGGTCTCTGGGTCTCTGGGTCTCTGGGTCTCGGGGTCTCTGGGTTCTCTGGGTCTCGGGTCTCGGGGTCCCGGGTCTCTGGGTCTCTGGGTCTCGGGGTCTCGGGGTCTCTGGTCTCGGGGTCTCGGGGTCCCGGTCTCTGGGTCCCGGGGTCTCGGGGTCTCTGGTCTCGGGTCCCGGGGTTCCTCTGATCTCGGGTCTCGGGGTCTCGGGTCTCTGGGTCTCGGGTCTCGGGGTCCCGGGTCTCTGGGTCTCGGGGTCTCGGGGTCTCGGGGTCTCTGGGTCTCTGGGTCTCTGGGTCTCGAGGTCTCGGGGTCTCTGGTCTCGGGGTCTCTGGGTCTCGGGTCTCTGGTCTCGGGGTTCCCGGGTCTCTGGGTCTCGGGTCTCTGGGTCTCTGGGTCTGGGTCTCGGGGTCTCTGGTCTCGGGGTCTCGGGTCTCGGGGTCTCTGGGTCTCGGGGTCTCTTTCTCTGGGTCTCGGGTCTCGGGGTCTCTGGGTCTCTGGGTCTCGGGGTCTCTGGGTCTCTGGGTCTCTGGGTCTCGGGTCTGGGTCCCGGGTCTCTGGGTCTCTGGGTCTCGGGGTCTCTGGTCTCGGGGTCTCTGGTCTCGGGGTCCCGGGGTCTCTGGGTCTCGGGGTCTCTGGTCTCGGGGTCTCGGGTCTCGGGGTCTCTGGGTCTCGGGGTCTCTTTCTCTGGGTCTCGGGGTCCCGGGGTCTTGATCTCGGTCTCGGGGTCTCGGGGTCTCTGGGTCTCGGGGTCTCTGGGTCTCGGGGTCTCTGGGTCTCTGGGTCTCGGGTCTCGGGGTCCCGGGTCTCTGGGTCTCTGGGTCTCGGGGTCTCTGGGTCTCTGGTCTCGGGGTCTCGGGGTCCCGGGTCTCTGGGTCCCGGGGTCTCTGGTCTCGGGGTCCCGGGGTCTCTGATCTCGGGTCTCGGGGTCTCGGGGTCTCTGGTCTCGGGTCGGGGTCCCGGGTCTCTGGGTCTCGGGGTCTCTGGTCTCGGGGTCTCGGGGTCCCGGGTCTCTGGGTCCCGGGGTCTCGGGGTCTCTGGTCTCGGGGTCCGGGGTCTCTGGTCTCGGGTCCGGATTCCCGTCTGGACATGGAAAGATGCTGCAGGAAGAAGCTTCTCTATCTGAGCCTGAGGGACGGAGGGACACGGAGGACAAGGATGGGTTCTGTGTCTTCAGGCTGCTTGTCAGAAACTTCAGACTGATGAGACCCAGAACCAGGGCAGACCAGGTTCTGGTTCTGGTTGGACCAGGCGGAGCCGAGGGGGCGGGTTACGGTCCAATTAAGTTTCCTCCCATGACCTCATCGCATTCTTCTCTGGGACGGAGAACAATGGCTGCTTTCATTGAAATGAGTGGGCCGGACCGGACCGGGCCGGGCCAGAGCGGGTCTCAGCCTGCAGCGAGGAGAGCTGCTGAGTAATCAGATTATAATCAGATTACTCTGCAGAGTAATCTGATTAGTAATCTGATTACTGACCACTTTTCATAGTCAGACTGCAGTTTAAAAACTGAATCTGTTTTTTGCAAATGTCAGTCTGATAAAAATCTGATTTCCTGAAACCGGATCAGAACCGGATCAGACTGGATCAGAACCGGATCAGAACGGACCAGAACAGATCAGAACCGGACCAGAACTGGATCAGAACCGGATCAGACTGGTTGGCGGAGCGTCCAGAGAGGAGGTCCGGTCCACATGGCAACACCCAGAGAGCAGAACCCTGGACCACTCAGGTCAAAGGTCACATGCAGTCCAGTCACAGAGACGCCTGTGAAGATGAAGATGAAGATGAAGAGGAAGATGAAGTCACCTCTAGATTCTGTT